TCTAAACATCAAATTTGCCATCATACTGGTAGCATCTTCTAGTTGTAGCTCCGCATTCATAGACCTGAGCACCACAAGCTCATGTAATGGGCTATGTTCCTTCCTACTTAGTGCGCCAGCTACGACATTGGCCTTTCCAGGGGTGGTATTCGATGGTGCAATCATATTCACCCAACAACTCCATCCATCTTCTCTGTCTCATATTCAATTCCTTTTGATCTCTTAGGTGCTTCAAACTCTTGTGATATGTGAAGATCTTAAAAGTTTCACCATAGAGATAATGTCTCCAAAATTTCAAAGCAAACACTACTGCAACTAACTCCAGATCATGTGTCGGATAGTTCACCTCGTGTGATCGTAATTGCATTGAAGCATAAGCAATTACCTTCTTGTTCTTCATAAGAACACATCCCAACCCTTTGTATGAAGCATCGTTGTATATTGCATATTCTCCCTCGCTTAATGGTAATGTCAGTACCGGTGCAGTAGTAAGCTTCCTCTTAATCTCCTCGAACGCTTCTTGGCACTTCTTACTTCATGTATATGTCACTCCCTTGCGCAGTAACTGGGTTAAACGTCTGGCGATGCTTGAGAAGCCCTCTACGAACCTTCTGTAGTACCCAGCCATGCTCTCCCTCGCTTAATGGTAATGTCAGTACGGTGCAGTAGTAAGCTTCCTCTTAATCTCCTCGAACGCTTCTTGGCACTTCTTACTTCATGTATATGTCACTCCCTTGCGCAGTAACTGGGTTAAACGTCTGGCGATGCTTGAGAAGCCCTCTACAAACCTTCTGTAGTACCCAGCCATGCCTAGAAAGCTTCTTAACTCTGAGACGTTCTTTGGAGGTACCCAATTCACCACTACCTCTATCTTTTTGGGGTCTACTTACACCCCCTTTCCTGAAACCACATGGCCCAGAAACAACACTTCTTTTAGCCAAAATCACACTTGGAGAACTTTGCGTACAACTTCTCATCCCTCAACTTCTGCAACATGATTCTCAAGTGCTCCTTGTGCTTATCGTGGCTCTGAGTAAATGAGGATGTCATCGATGAACACGATGACAAACTTGTCCAAATACTCGTGAAATACGCTATTCATGAGTGCCATAAAAGCCGCCGGTGCATTGGTCAACCCAAAAGGCATAACCAGGAATTCATAGTGTCCATACCGAGTACGAAAAGCTGTCTTCGGGATAGAAGAATCTGCCACTTCCAACTGATGATATCCCGACCTCAGGTCAATCTTCGAGAACACAGAAGCACCCTGCAATTGATCGCACAAGTCATCTATCCTGGGTAATGGATATCGATTCTTCACCGTTGCCTTGTTTAACCTCCTATAGTCGATAAACATCTGCATACTCCCATCTTTCTTCTTCACGAAGAGCACTGGGGCTCCCCATCGGGAAATACTAGGGCGAATGAATCACTTGTCTAGCAATTCTTGCAATTGTTCCTTCGGCTCCTTGAGTTCTAGTGGCGCCATTCGGTATGGTGGTATTGAGATTGGAGCAGTACTCGGTACCACTTTGATGTCAAACTCGATCTCTCTCCTTGGAGATAACCCAGGAAGATCTTCTGGAAATACGTCAGGAAACTCTTTCACGATTTCCACCTCTTCGAGCTTAACCTCTGGTGTCGTCATAACGTAGGCCAAGTAAGCTTCATACCCATCATGGATTAGCGAGAATGCCGTGGTTGCATATATTAGGCTCGTTGAAATGGCCCTCTGTATCCCCCTGAATATCACTACTCCTCTTCCTTCTATGGCAAACCGAACCTCCTTGTTAAAACAGTCCACCAAAGCTCTGTGCTTGGATAACCAGTCCATCCCCAGGATGGTGTCAAATTCACCAAGGGAAGCAACATGAGATTTGCCTCAAGCTCATACCCGGCAACCCGGACTATGCACTCCCTGACTATGGAGTCCACAATTAAGGTATCCCCGACTGGGGTACGTACCCCTAGATTCTGACTAAGGCTCGTAGGGACTATGACTAAGGTTCTAGCAAATGCAGTAGATACAAAGGAATGCGTAGAACCAGGATCAATTAAAGCAAAAGCAGGACGATCATGAATGTAAACCGTACTAGTCACAACCTATGGGGACGTGTTGGTCTCTTCGCTCCTCATCGCAAAGAGTCGGGGTTGCCCACCAGCCTTGGACTGCTGGCCCTGGTCACGGTGATTTTTGTAGCCGTTGTTGTTGTTCCTGACATGGCTTGATCTATTGTGGAACTTTCCCCCTGCATGTGATCTTCCTCTAACAACCGAGGCCTCAGAAATTGGCACGGTATGGCTTGTGAGTCGTGGGAAATTCGCCACCATGTGCCATGGCTGGCCTATCTCAAAGCAAACGCCTTGCTGACGCCTGCACTCCCTAGATGCCGCTTTGAACACTATCGACAAAATGGATACGTGTATTGCATGGGTGCATTCCTGGTATAGCCTGTTTGACTCTGTGACTGCGGCTGAATGAAGGAACCAGAACCCCTCTTAGTAGGATGGATCGAGTGTGTCTGGCCTCTAGAGTAGGTGGGCTCTTTCCTTTTCCTGGTATCCAGTCTGCTAGCTCTCTCTTGCTGGGTTTTCTTCTCATCCCTCTAAATGCTGAGGGCAGCTCGATACGCTGTGGCGTTAGATGCCCTCTCCGCCTCTCCCATACATTTCTTCATATCACCCCTTAGACCCTAGACATAGCGATCTCGCATCCCCGCTGGAGTTTGGTACACATGATCAGCATATTTGTTCAACTTCTTGAATAGCTCTGTATATTTTGTGACGCTCTGTCCCCACTCTTTCTTCAACTTCATAAAATCTTCTCTCTTATCATCTCGGACTAGTTGGGGAATGTACTCATCGAGAAACATTTTTACGAACTGGTTCCAAGTGATCTCGAAGGTACCACTTCATTCTCCTGTTGGAGGTGCCACCAGTATCTAGCAGTTCCCTGGAGCATGTGGACAGCCATGGCGATCCTGTCCTCATGGTTATCAATGCGCAACTCGTCCAAGGTGCGGGTGAGCTTCAACAGGCATGCATCAACCACCTCAGGGTCGGAGGATCCCTCAAAGTCCTTAACGCCCATCTTCCTAAGTGCAACATAGTTCGGAGGTGGGCGTCGACCAACCTGCTAAGAGCTTTCGCCATTCATACTCCTATAAGGTAATGGCATTGTGTCAAAACCTTGGAACTTTTGCACCTATTAGTAGACGAGACTGGATGATCTAAAACAAACTTTGTTTTCATGGAAATCTTGGTTGGAAACTTTCAAAAAACCTTCATAGCTCGTAAAAACATGGAGACTGACTTCCCAGTATCTCACTTACCAAGTGAAGACAGAGAGAAACCAGGCTCTGATACCAAAATGTAACACCCTAGACCGGCCGGTCATTAAATTTACCAAAATGCCCTTGAGAATCAAAACAAATAATTTGTCTTGAAAAGGGAGAAACAACGGAAAATCATCCATACCAAAAATCCAAATCTCAACAGAAATAATCCTTGTCAATTCAACACAATGAGCATCTGTCTCAAGTCTACTAATAAGAAATTCATAAAGTAAAAGGAGTTCTTGGTGAAGCTTTCTCGGTCACTAACCCTTCTGACGACATCCTGAGTAGCAATGGTATCCCGGCGGTTGGTCTGTGCGCTCCTGCTCTCTAGTAGCTCCTGAGTGCGGGTGTGGGGTTAGTCCTAGGTGCAAAATCTTAACAGTAATGACTACTCAACGACTTAAAAGAAATAACTACGTGAACATGCAAGATTTGGTGATTTTATTAACTTGTTTAGAGGGGGCCCCGTGCTCAACCTAACTAGCGCAACTGTCCGACCTCCTGAACGCGACATGACATGGACCTCCATCACTGTGGGAGGTGAGGTACGTGGTAAACATGGACCTCCTTCACTATGGGAGGTGAGGTAACCGAGCGCTAGCTGGGCGACTGACCGGTACCTAAACGTGAACATGGACTCCTTTTCTAAAGGAGTGGGTACATACACGGACTTCCTCACTCTGTGAAGAGAGGTGTTCGCGTGCATAACTAGTTAGGTGAGTTTCTAAAACGTGTTATTGCTTACCTAACGTAATACATGCACTTGTCCACTCGTAATAAGAACTTGAAACTTAAACGTAGAAAGCCAGTAAAACGTACATAATCAAATGCATAATGTAACATGGCATAACTTGAACATTAAATCTAGCCGCCTTTAACCACACACCTTATTAATTCAAGTCGAGTACAACTTGAAGAATAAATGACCCTTGACTTGGATGTTTCGCCTCGTGCTCCTATGGCAAACATCAACATTAGAATGGTCGAATTTTGGTGTTGTAGCGATGGCTTCGTGACCCGGGATTACTTTGCGATATATACAAAGTACGGGGCTTGGTAGTACATTAGTGAATGTACTTGTTAATTTCTTAATTTCCTAGGATGTACTACCAAATTTTGACCAACTTAAGTTTTTAAAGAAAATATATCCTATCACCTTTCTAGTAACCATGAAATACGTTACCTTACAAAATACATATACTAATCACCAAGTATATAATATATTCCTCACCATTAATTATACTCAATTTAATCTCTTAACCTAACTCCATTTACCGGCAACGTTAGCATACTAGATATAATATTCTACTAGGAAAACACTATAGTAACTTACTTATTAATTTGCTTATGTTCATTAATTCCTAAACATAACATATTAAATCAAACCATCCTTAATAATCTCAAACTATAATTAAGAATCCTGATCTTATCTTGTAAGAACTTGAATGAATAGTAAAGATCCCAGCAATCTTTAGCGACCGCCAGAACAGTCACTAAAGCTCTGCGGGTTCATCACTAAAAGGGCTGTGAAACCATCGCTTAGTTTACAGATTTAAGCATGCATATATATAACCATCCATAGATCGATTTTAGGGTTTGAAAAGGAGTCCATGTTCACGTTTAGGTAGGACTTGGTAGAGGAATTAAGGACATTTATTTCCTTTGGTGGTCGTCGTTCGATCCCCCGCCGTCTTTGCCGTCGACATCGCCGCTACGTTTAACAAACATGAATTATGTTTCATTAGGTAAGGCTCGATATGAGATTGGAAACAAGGTAATATCGAGTTCCATACCGTTTAGAATACGATTCGAATGAATTTGGGTTGCCGAATCGATGGACGGAAGGAACTACGACTGGCAGAGGTGGCGGCGTGCGGGGCAGAGACGGGGCTGGCTCTTGCCTCTGTTTGTCGCTGATCCTGGTCGTCACTGCTGGTTTAGATCGCGGGAGGTGGCGAGAGATGGCGGAGCACTTCTTCTTGCTTCTGCTCACGCTGGTGATTTGCGGTTGGGTCTTACATGATGGAGGTGGGATGGAGTTTGCGGCGACTTGGATTTTGTTCCATTAATTTTAGTTTTAAGTCAATTTAAAGGGAAAGGGTGAGCCAAGGGTGGGAAGGGGTTTAGCTAGGGTTAATTGCATTGAAAAAGGTATTCTAGGAAGCACAGGGGTATGAGTGTATCGGGCGTGACAGATCAAACTATTTTTTTTTTAACAGGATAGTTAAATAATTTGTCGTTTTACGTTGAAACTAGGATTACACGATCTAACAAAACGCACCCGAGTTGATTTTATTGGCAATAACTATGGTCCTTTTGGTTTAGAAAAGTCTCGGCCCAACAGCCCAAACCCGTCGGAGTCTGAGCGAGGAAACGTTTAACCGTCGCACTCAAACACGTTTGGCCGTTTGGGCCTTCCTTCGGTGACGTGCCAGCCAATTCCTGTCTGCAACTTCTGAAGAAATGCCTAAGCGAGCTCCACCGCATTGATCTACTGATACCGGCGACCGTTGCAGAGGAATGTCGAACTGGATCTCCTCTAAGCTCAAAGTCGCCGAGACTTTCTTCGAGCAGGTAATTACTCATTTTCTTTATCGCCCACACATCTCATTTGTCATTGTCCAACTATGGTACCGATCCCATCTTCGTTTCTTTCTTACGTTTCACATCTAGAGTTCTTGATTGTTTTGGAATCATCTCGAATTAAATTTCTGGCGATGGCCTGTGGTTCAGATTGATCAGCAAGCGGCCGACTCTCTCAAGAAGAACGAGGAGCAGCGATTTGAGGACCAGAAGTTCGACGTCCCGGCGAAAGCTGGCGGCGCTGTGCCTTTGAAGGTTCAGCTCAAGAAGAAGTCACCGGAGGCTCTTGCTAACGATGAATACTTAGGGAAACTGGGTGCTGATTCTGGGGTTAGGAAGAGTTACAGTGGCAGCAATGTAGAGAAGGAGGTTTCGATTGCCCCAAAACCTAAGCCCGCTCTCACTGATAGTGATTGGACTGAGCTTCTCAATAACCCTAATCCACCTTCAACTACTTTGAACCGGAGTGGTCGAGGATCTGGGATTCGTGGTCCGAGGAAGGATTTGAAGCGGCAGGTAAGCTATGGTTCCAGTTCTGGAATAGTGGAAGGGAAGAGAAATCTGAAGCCCAGTGGCAATGCGGATAGAGGTCTCAACACTCAGAGGAGATCGGATCCTCTGTTGGGAAATAAGCTTATTTGTGCAAAGCGGAGTGATGGGGAAGAATCTAGCTCATCTGCTAGGTCTTCAAATGTTGAGTCACATACTGATGGGAAGGTTGTGGATAAGCTAGAAGAGGACCATAAGGAGAGAGTTGTGGATGAGGTGGATAACCGCAAGAGTGGCGAAGGCAATGGGGATGGCTGGCAGTTTCAATCTGATGATATTTCTGATGCCAAGGTTTTGAGTGCAGGGGAAACGGATCATCACGTTGACGTGTCTCCGGCATCGCAGAATGTTGATGATGTACCTGAGGAGAAGAAAGGAGCGAGTGATGTTTATGATCGAATAAGAAGTACAGTAAAGGGGAAACAGAGGTCTGGTGCTGCTTCTAAAAGTTCAGTCTCGAATGATCTGAAAAGAGGTTCTTACTCATCAAGTGGTGGGGACTCTGATTCAGATAGTGAATCCGGTTCCTCTACTGATTCTGAGAGTGAGAGAGAAAGAGAGAGAAGGGAGAAAATTTTGGCTGAAAAAGCAGCAGCAAGGGCTGCTGAGGCAGTTAAAGAGCGAGAGAATTATGTTGCTAGATTGGAAGGAGAGAAACATTATTTGGAGAAAATACTTGAAGAGCGAGCAAAACAAGCGGCTGAAGAGGTAATGTCAAGCTTGAGCCCTTGTTATTGCTAAAATTCTGATCATTCTTGATGTGATCTTTTACTTGAACTGGAGCTGATAATGGTGTCATTTAGATAAGAGGCAATATCTTATACTTGAGAGTTGAGGGATCAACTATCAAGCGCATGGACATATCATGTTTTCTATCTGCATAGTATGTTCTTCTGTTTATGCCAAAAGATCACCATCATGGTAAGCTGTGTTGAAGTTCTGAATGATAATACAAATAGTAAACCATCCTCGCCAATTGAAAGATGACAAAAGGTTAGACTTTCATCCAACTGAATATCAAATCCAAGCTACCGCACCTGATTCAAATAGAATATCAGGTTCATCATTCTTCATAGTATATTTGCAGTAAACCATTTACATTGCTGGCATGTTGATGGGTAGTTAGAATGCGTACTTATCGCAATTTGACTATGTGCGTACTGTTGAGACCTAAAACTGGTTGTATTGGGTCATACACCCTTTTCACATGAGTAGTGATGAAGTAGGCAGTCTTATTAACCTAATGATTTAACATTTTCAGGTTTTCTGTGATCAGAATAGTTGATAATGATTTAAGCCATGGAGCTATTTTCAGTTCTAGGCATTGTTGACTGCATTTACACTTTGTGTTTGAAGGCATATATTTTCATATGATTTATATTTGGTGCCTGAGATGAAAGCAGCTGTGGACGTGCCAAGTTATATTTTGGCTGCTAATTACTTAACCTGTTTCTGTGGCCAGGCTTCAGAGCTGCAAACAAATATGATGGAAACGATGGAAGCTGCCGATTTGGAGAAGCAGAAACATAATTATACTAGAATGGAAGCCCTTGCTCGATTGGGTAAACTGGAGGTATATTTTTTCTGAAGTCATGCTTTCATACTCTACTTAATTACACTCTTTTATGAAATTAGATTGAGATTTCTTTTTGTTAATTTTATTTTCTCACAAGATCAATGCGCTTGCAGACTGAAAATGCTGATCTTGCAAAATCTCTAGCCACTGTTCAGAAGAATCTGGAGATTGAGGTATGCCGTTTCTGATTGAAGTTGCTAAGCTACATGGTCACAGTTATTGCGCAAGAACGTAACGAAAATAGGCTTTGCATAGGAAACTGAGAAAAGAGAGCATAAGTGAATTGGGAACCTTCCACGATTTGCTAAAAACTATACTCTTAGAGTCATGTCTGCTACTTCTGGAAATAAGCAGGAGAGGAAACCTTGCAAGCTTCCGAAGCAAGGAAAAGAGGACAGCTTATGTCGGTTGAATGTGGTTAATCCTTCGGATTGTGGTTCTTCTTGTCTGAAACGAGAGCTTGATTGAAATTAGATTGGTCAGGAGCTGTGCAGTGTGCTATCTGATAGTAATTTTCTCGTTAGCATTCTAACAGGATTCCAAATTTATCAACTAGGGTGAAATTCGAGTTTGTGAGCTTCTGATAGCTTTCTGTATGCAGTGCAAGCCCATTTCCTGTTTATGTGCATCTATGACTCTAAGCATATCTTGTCCCATGGCAGAGTAATCGAGTGACAGATCTACGACGAGAAGTTGAGTTGAAAGAAATGTCAGTTGAAGGTAACCAAATTTTATTACAATCTGTTCGACTTTCACCACTTATTTCCTGTGTTTTTAATTTTTTCTCCTCAATTAGGCTACAAGTTATGAAGTTCGTAACTTGTATATTCTTCACTAGACATATCAGCATTGGTTACTTTTCGATCTGTGAGTGGTGAGAGAAGTTCAATCTTATTAGGAAATTCCGGGTTGGAGTAGTTTCTCCCCTAAGTAGTTGCTCATCAAAGAAACTCATGTCTGATTCTTTCTTTAAGTATGTGATCCTTTTTTTGTTTGTGTTTTTCATCAGTGTCAAACTATAGATCAGTCTTTAGGTTAATTTGAGCAAGAACTACTACTTATGCTCATACATTAATTAGGTTTGGAATCAAAGTTTTCCTCTCCGATGCTATATCGTTTTGATGATTTGTTGAAAACTCCTTTTTTTCCTCGTAGAATTCAAGAGGAAGATTTCTGAGACGCAGCAGACTGGAAAACATATTAACCAAGTAAGTATCTAACTTAAATCCTGTGGTTAAATTGTAACAGAAGGAAGGGGTTAAAATGAGTGGCAGTCCCAGCCACCATGGTCTCGATGTCACCCTCCACTACTTTTGCAAGTAGTGGCATTTTTTCAAAAAATTATCTAAGCTTGAATATCTACCTTCACATACTAATCTGTCTCTCCTTTGAGAACTTATTAGTTGGGCGCCTCAAAAGGTGTAGAATTTGAGCGGGAAATTCTTGAAGCTGAGTGCTCCTTTTTGGCTGACAAAATTGGAAGACTGGAAGTCAAGGTTTGTTTTTTCTTTCTTCTTGGGATTGAACCCTCCTTGGCTTTTTAGTAAATGCCTACTGGTACATATCAGATTTCCAATTTGCCCCTACATATGTTGTTTGAGTCCAAATGTCTTCTTATTCATATAAGCTGTTAATGAGCATCACTCTCGTTTTTGAAGTACGAAGGATCTTGCTTGTTGTCCTCCTTCTAAATTCAGCCTCGTTCAGCTAAAGCTACAGGATCAATTAAACACAGAGGCTGATCAGTTGATGTGTTTTTATCTAGGCAAAAGAGCTGGAGGCAGATATTGAAGTGACGAGAAAAGATTTGGAAGAACCAACAGAAGTGGAGCTTGAACTAAAACGAAGGCTTGGGCAGTTGACTGACCATTTGATTCAGAAACAAGCTCAGGTTTGTCAATTAAAAGTTCTTCTTTGCTTTATTTAGACCGTTCGTCATTGATCGCCCAATGAGTTTTTTCCCATGTTGCTTGGATGAATCAGGTGGAGGCGCTTTCTTCTGAGAAGGCAACTCTCCAGTTCAGAATAGAGGTACCATAATCTTTTGACTACACAATTACATCATCCCTTCTTTATGTCCTCTCTTCACTCATCATCACCATTTGCAATGATGATCCTCCAGGCTGTGATGAGATTGCTGGACGAGAACAAGTCCACTACGAGCTCCAAGGATTTGGAATCAGGATCAAGTACATGGGGGGAGAAGGCGAGTGAGAGACGAATGGCACTGGAGGATAAACTTCGGTCCGGAAGGAAACACTTGGGTTCATTGCTCGAGCAGCTCGACGCCATCTTTGGCGCAGGTGCAGTATTCCTGAGGAGGAACCCCAGCGCGAAGATGTGGGCTGGGATTTACCTGGTAGGCCTTCACTTCTGGGTCATTTACATACTGTCGTCTCACTCCGGTCCAGCTGAGGGAAGATCCGGTGCTGTCGTCTCACTGGAGAATATTAATAATACTGGCGCTGTATAGCTCTTGTTTTCCCGTTGAGTTCATTACCTTCAACCAAAATGTTGGACACAGTGATGTTTTTGGTGGGGCTGGGTGTTTGTTTGTAATTACACTCCTACAGCAAATAGCGTTGGAATAGTAAATAGAGATCGACATTACATCAATGAATTCTTTTGGCATCTCAGTTGCTTATAACCATATATACCTTATCAGTTTAGCGAGAAACCCAAAATTCGTATACATTCTATATTGTGAATTAGTGCTCTGGTTGGTTACGGGTATTTCGTACTTAATGAAGCGTTGATTTGTTCATGAATACTAAGATTTCTGGATTAGCGAAATGGAAGCAAAACTCAGGATGAATTCTTGTATACCCCAGCAGCACAATGTAGTCAATTACATAACCACACCCCTTGATGATTAAGAAAAAGGCTTAAATCTGTAATTACCAAAAGCCATAATGAAACACAATTCACTCTTTCTTTCTGTTAATTTTGTAAGGAAACAAGAATCAGCTCAGCTTCAGTTCATCTCCTTTGATCACTTCTCCCTCAGTGCTCCTTCTACACCTTGCATGGCACAAATGACAATTTCATATCTCCCAAACCATATTTGATAGTACTAAGAAGTTTTGAAGCGCCAAAACGAAGAAGGGAAAGGCTTCCTTTCCCCACCTCACCATGCCAACCCCTCAGGAGGAAGACTGCGACTGTACAATGGCAGCTCAAACAAAAACACGGTTTTCAACCACGATGGCAGGCTTTCGTAGAGCGATGGAGGCAGCGGGATAAGAGGGCTGAGAGGAACACAGAAATAACCACCAGTCAGTCTGTGGACGAACACAGTAAAGGACGATAAACGATCAAAATTCCCACCTCCAATGCTACTACTAACCTGGTCCTCCTTTTGTAGTTTCTGTAAGCTGGAGCATTGCCAAACTTCTTGTCAGCAGAGTCCTGTCAACATTTCTCAATCTTATTAGATGTATATTCTTAAGCACATATTCAACATAAAGCTTTTAGTGACCCTTCACCACAGTTATTTGAAGAAGAAGCCAAAGCAGTAGCAGAGTGTATAATGTACCAGAAAGCAGAAGAAGGGTTCTACAAACAGAAAGCAAGGGTTCAAGCAGTTACAGAGGGAGACAGCAATACAGCCTATTTTCATCAGTTAATGAGGGTGAGGCAACACAGAAATCATATACCATTTCTCAAAAAGGATGATGGCACTATAGTCACTGATGTAGAGGAAATTGGTCAAACAGCAGTAGCATTTTACATGAAGCTGCTGGGTGAGAAAAACCAGGAAGTAAGAAGTAGTTCAGTGGAGGAAATGGAGAATATCTTGGTAAATAAGGTAACTTCAGTGGATGTTGAGCATCTTTGTAGTTCTGTTTCTAAAGAAGAGATAAAAGCTGCATTGTTTGAGATGGGATCTAATAAGTCTCCAGTCCTGATGGTTACACAGTGGAATTTTATAAAGCAGCATGGTCAGTAGTGGGGGAAGAAATATCCAATGCTATTAGCTCCTTCTTTCAAACTGGCTTTCTTCCCAGGGAATTAAATTCGACAGTGCTTGCTCTTCTTCCAAAGGTTGTAGGGGCTGATCAAATGAAGCAATTCAGGCCGATATCATGCTGCAATGTGATGTATAAATGCATTGCCAAGATACTGGCGAATAGGCTTTCTACAGTGTTGCCCAAATTAATCAGTCAAAGTCAGTCAGCGTTTGTCAAAGGTAGAAGCATTAGTGACAACATCTTATTGGCATCTGAATTGGTAGCAGGTTATAATAGAAAGAATATTTCACCTCGATGCACGATGAAGATAGACTTGATGAAGGCTTTCGACTCTGATGACTGGGATTTCCTATTCACTGTGATGACAGCTATGGGGCTTCCCTCTCAATTCATTTCCTGGATCAGAGTCTGTGTCACAACTCCAATGCTAAGCATTGCAATAAATGGAGGAGTGTGTGGGTATTTTCCATCTAAAAAGGGTCTGCGTCAGGGTGATCCCCTTTCTCCTTTCCTTTTTACAATTTCTATGGAAGTTTTATCTTGTATTTTGAATAAGGGGGCTGCATCTGGGGATTTCCCTTATCATCCAAGATGTAAGACACTGGGAATTACACATCTTGTGTTTGCGGACGATTTATTGTTGTTTTCCAATGGTTCTGCAAAAGCTGTGGACAGTGTAAAGGGGCTGTTGGACAAATTTTATAGGTTATCAGGGCTAAGGTTTAACCCAGAAAAGAGCCAATTATTTTCTGCAGGGATAAAAGAGGCAGAGCATGCTAGACTGGCAGAGTTGGCTGGGTTTCAGCAAGCTTCATTCCCAGTCCGTTATCTGGGGGTTCCTCTCATTGCAGGGAAGCTGACTGCAAGTGACTGCAGAGTGCTCATTGAGAAGATCACTAAACGTATATCAGGATGGAAGCCTAAGATGCTTAGCTATGCAGGTAAACTTCAGCTCATTACCTCGGTGTTGAGTAGTCTTTCCTACTTTTGGATGAATGTTTTCCTACTGCCACTGTCTATTATAAAGGAGATAGAGCGGATTTGTAGTAAGTTCCTCTGGGGTATAGATGATGAATCCATGAGGAAAAAAGCGGTAATGGCCCGGGATTTGATAGCAATCCCAAAGAAGGAAGGGGGACTAGGCATTCGATGCTTAAAATCATGGAATATAGCGTGTACTACAAGGCATATTTGGGCGCTGCTTGCTAAAGAAGGGTCCCGGTGGGTTGCGTGGATATACCAGTATCGTATCAAACAGCTTAGCTTCTGGGAATTAAGAACATGTAGCACAGCCTCTTGGGTGTGGAAGAGATTACTCAAGGTAAGGGATAAGGTGGAAGGTTTCTTTCGTTGTTGGGGAACACAGGTGTATTGGAAGGATAGAAGGGTGTTGAAATACTCTGTAAAACAGGTTTGGCAAGATCTACAACCGGTTAGACCTCAAGTTCCTTGGTATCAGCTCGTATGGGGAAGACACTCTATTCCAAGACATAGTTTCTTGAGTTGGGTTGTGACACGTAACAAGATAACTACTTTAGCGCAACTGAATGGCTGGGGAAAAGTATTGGATGATACATGCCTGCTTTGTTCTGCTCAAACAGAGGATTGTGATCACTTATTCTTCCAATGTAATTACACGTTCAAGGTGCTGAAGGGTTGCTTGCAGATGCTTGATCAGAGGTGTCCTCAGCTGGCCACTTATGATGACTACTTGGCGTGGGCTGTGAGACACTTTAAGGGAAAGAAGGCGTTAGCTATGGTGGGTTGTATGGTTTGGAACTTAGTAGTTAGTATGGTCTGGAGGGAAAGGTGTGGTAAGCTGTATGGGGGAAAGTCCATGACATATGGGGAGGTCATTAGATCAGTAAGAAGGCTGATTGAGTTGGCCAGACAAAGAAATACAGCACTGGATTTGGATTGTAGAGCAGTGTTTCTTCAGTAATCACAGTTGTAATTAGAAGTGTAGTAGCATTAGAGAGTAGTAGAGTGTTTGCTAGTTGCACTGTAGTAGTGATTGGTAGTGCAGTTATTGTTCAGCTGCAGAGTGTATGATCAAGATGTGTATAAAATCACATAGAGCTTAATAAAATTTTTTGATATTGCCCATCAAAAAAAAAAAAGAAAAAAAAAACAAACCTCGAGCAGTGGAATGCCACTGAGGAAAAGAAGCAGCAATGTTAAGAAGATTGGCCCTAGAATGACAAGCCATTCAGCCCCTTTGAGCACGGGAGCAGATGCCACAAAGATCCCCCACCAAAGGAAAATCTGTTTCAGTGAAAAGAGAACTTTTAAAGATAAAAGGCAACATTGTGATTGTGAGAGCTATAGCATGAGGTTGGTATACAGATCACAGTGCTGCATACCTCTCCAAAATAATTAGGGTGGCGAGTGTAGCTCCAGAGTCCGACATTGCACCATTTCCCTCTGTTTTCAGGTGCGTTTTTGAAAGCAAGTTTCTGTTGATCAGCTGTGGCTTCGAATGATGTCCCGATAGACCACATTATCCACCCGATTATGTCTCGAACGTCTAATGCAGGATCTCTGTCACTGGAATTAACTACCGTCAAGGGCAAACTCACAGTCCACACCCATACAGCCTGCAGTGAATGAGAATATATGCTAGGTTGAGTTAGTTGAAACATCAAATATTAATTGGAACATCAGGAAGCGATTATAATATGTTTCAAAGTATAGGATGGAACTCTCATTAACCTGAAATGTCCAGAAAACAGCCAACTTCCCCAAATTGCTGCGCATTTCATCAAAACGCCTATCCTCCCCCCACTGCAGTATCCTGTTCAGGAAATGTTTGTTTAGGCCAAATTGACGGGTTTGACTCAGTTCAAACATCAAAGATTAGCTTAATGAATGAACAACGAACAACTAGCCTAGAACTTGAGTGCATAAAACAAGCACAAGTAATCAAACACGTAGCCATGCACACCAATCCATCCATTTCGTTTAACATGTGAAGTTGGCATGCAATGCCTTCACTTCATACCTCATTAGCAGAAACAGGCCCAGACGAAGACCCCATATTATGACAAGGACACTCAAGACTACCTGTAATACAAGGAAAAAATCCAAGTCAGAAGCCATGAACACTCAGTACAAAGACGAGAGTTGGTTAGAGCTTGACAAAGGAGGCAATGCATACATTTATTTAGACCAGCAACTTGGGTACTTGGTAAAGAAAATGAAAGGCAGGAAAAGCATTTCAGTAGCTTCCCCAGACCAAAAATGTACAGGAGATATAAGCAATTGTTCCAGGATGTTCGCTCCATCTAATGAATAAACACAGAAGCTCCTTCTACGGTAAGTTTCCAACTGAATATTGGACCAACCAGTACCTTGAGTCTCACAAACATAAACAAGGCAATTGATTTGAGCAACAGTCGTGCAACGTTGTAATTGGATTGCCTGCACCTCATTAATATAACTCTCAAGGGTATTGCTATTCTTCTTTTCCTTCTAAATGGTTCACATACCAAGAGTCTGGTCTCTTTCTCTAGTGGTTTAAGATCCTCTGAATGGAACTTGGAACAAGCAAGAAAGAAAACTGAAAGAGGATTGCCACCAAACAAACCAGTGACGATATCCTTCTCAAAGAACCTCATACAGAAATCAAAGTTCCCATCAACAGAGAAACAACTTATACATAAAACAGTGCCATGAAATGACTGGCTAGAATTACAAAGAGACGAGTGTACCTGTCTAAAATACCACGTCCCTTTCAGAATGAGGGTCAAAGCCGCAAGTATAATGAAGTTTGTGCTTCCTGGAACAGATTAAAACATCTAATTAGCACACCAGAAACTACTTCAATTGTATGTTAAGCAGCAAGAAATCATGTCAACCCATTTCTACCGACCCCATAGCCATTTCAATTCTCATTGATCTACCTTATAATCATTCATCCATAGCTACCAAGAAGGTTAAAGCAGGGGGGAAAATTCGAAACCCCAAACAGAAGAAATGAGCCAGAATACCAGCAAAGTCGGTGACTTTATCGAACTTGAGAAGAGCTGTGACAATGAAGAACAGCAGCTGGTACCCAACCTGCACAACACAACGAATACCAAAAATCAACACGACACACACAAACTCTAGAGAATAACGAGAGAAGCCCATGAACCCCGAGGTGCTGGGGAAGAGAATTACGGTGACAATGGCGGTTAGAGCAAGAAAGTGAGAATCCAGGACGGTTCCCATTTCCAGATAAGAATGACAAAGAGGGTACCGACCCTGTTTACAGTAGTAGTGTTGGAAAAGATGGAGAATTTTAGCAGGCAGGGAGTATGAGAATTATAACGGCCCGGTTATTGCTTGCTTTGCTCTGGTTGGGCATTTCCGGAAGTTGGAAGGTTTCGTTGACGGAGGACGGATTCTGGCGGCTGCATGAGACGCCGTGACGAGTGGATGGGATTTTTACACCGTGGGTGGCTGATTATTGTCCGAGTTGTCCTGCTTTTTTTTTATAAGAGTGATAATTGCTTTTACTTTTTCGTTGTTTACGTACTACTTGACCAATTTGAAACTGTGACCTCTAAATTTAAGTTTAATGGTATTACCACTGGATCAACTCTTTATTTGTGAGTTATCTTGCTTTCTTTCTCAGAAAGAAAAAATTACGTTTTTGTAAGATTATATATTTGGAAACAAATTACCGGGGGAAATTTTGAGAATATTTATGAGCAAAAACTGTCATTGGATTTGCTTTCTAGAATTCCACCATATGGTGAAAGTTACTATTTAATTACTTAACATTTCGAGTTACTAGAGTGTGAGGCAAAAGAGCTTTGCAAGTGTGTCGAAATCATATCAAGAAAAATCGAAAGAAAGTTTCGTTGGTATTGATTAGAAATATTGAGATCTAAATGAAAAAAATAATACTTCTAGTTAAATGCTCTACAACAATTATAATACATCTGTACCAACAATGTAATCTAGGATAAATAGAAGAAACAACATGCACTCTAAACACAAAGTTGTATGCATATATTGGCAAAAAATAACTCTATATGTTCACTACAACAAAAGTTGCTTTTTTGTAACCAATTGTGCTTTGACCAAAAAATTTGGTCACCAACTCTTAGTCATTTGCTACCAATCAGGCCTGGAGGCTAACATATCCGCATAACAATTCGTTCAATGAAAAAAATAATTTCACAACCAAAATATTTTAAGACAACCAAATAAAATAGTAGTCAAATTGTCTAGTCAAAAGAAAAGATCAGCAACCCATAAAAAGTCAAGGAATGGGATTCAAAGAAAGCAAAATAAATCTGAAGTGACCAAATAGTTTGGTCAAAAATGGTAAAAGTTCTCGCATCCAAGTACTTAATCGTAAATTTCAATCCTGCCTTCTCTTGTACTCTCGCGCCAAACTCACAATCTGTTCTCTGATCGACTCCATTATCCCATCCAAAACCCTAAAATTAACTCGATCTCATAATTGTCCATCAATGGAACTTTCACTCTGCTTATGAGTAGCATCCTCCATGGAAATTGTAAGGCGAGCTCAAACATCCTGCCGAGCAAGCTCGCTCGGGCCATAAGCGAATTTGCAAGCGAATTTTTTCGTTGTTCCTCAAAATCTGGGCTAATCCTCAGTCCAAAAGGTATTAGCCTAATAATGTTTAATGATGTGACCTGATAAATTACCAGGTCAATGAAAAATACTTGCCAAGGCTGCCTAGAAGATGCACAAGAAGGCAGAGAGGTTTCCCAGGCAGAGGAGGTAGGCTTTCGCAAAGAGGCAGAGTCAGTTGTTTGGTTCTCGGAGTTGATCATAATGTAAACGATTATCAGAAATTTGGTTGTATTATACGATTTCTAGAACCAAAATTATATGTACATTAATATTATTTGACTACCATAAAATATTGGTTATAAAAAATAATTGTGACCATTTTAATTCTTGAGTAAAACTGATTGGTTATGAATCAAATTGATGGTCACGTATAGAACATTTGATAACCATAAAAAAAATGGTTACATTATGTTTTCAGGAACCAAGATGGTCACATTTTGAACATATAATTACCATAAATTTTGGTTGTGTTCAGGAATGCGTAACCAATATTTGTGGTCACTTTAAAATGATAAATTTATTGTAGTTGAGTATTCGGTGACCAAATCTAATTAGTTTTAAAATGTTGATTTTATGACGCTACCATTTGGTTGGAAATAGGCAAATAAAATCGTTGGTTTTAGTATTTGTGACCAATAGCTTACTTTTCTGTGACTATTTTAGCAGATTTTATATAACCAATTATCATGGTCACAACGTAATTTTTTTTTGTGACCTTTCCCAAGTTTGGTAGCCAAATCATCATATTTGTGACCAAATTGAAAATTTGGTCAGAATATAGTTTTACTAACGCGGCAAATGTGACCAAAGGTGCAACCAAAATTTTTTAGTCACGAAATAGCATTCTCAACCAAAATCTGACATTTAGTGACCAATTGCATTTGTCATAAAAAGCCATTTCTGTTGTAGTGGACTAGTGGTTGCTCCCTATGGAGCATTTTATACAAATGATCCAACATAATAAAAGAATATCTTGATAGATTCCCGGATAAGCTTGTCAAACATTTCACGGATCAAGGCTCTGACCATCGAGCTATTCTCTTGGTTGATAAGGTTTATGCCCGTAATAGCCGACCCTCTTCCGCTTTGATGCGCGCTGGACTGATAATCCGGAGGTCCGTGCTATGGTGAGATATGTTTGGCAGGAAGAGATCCATGGATCACCTATGTACCGTCTCTGGAGCCGACTGAAGAGACTCTGTCACCTGCTGTATGATTGGAGTAGGGCGGGGACCTCTAACTCCTTGTGTAATATACGAACTCTCCAAGCAGAGATTGAACATATTAAGGAGAATCATCCTACTAATTGGGATGAGGTCCGGGTTGTGGAAACAGAATCAGTCGTCAATGGGACGTAGAGGAGATTTACTGGCAACAGAAATCAAGGGTGAGGTGGTTGAAAAAGGGGGATCAGAATTCGTCATATTTTCACACGGTTACTCGCATCAGGAGAAAGCGGAACTTTGTGGCAGGCCTCACGAATGACCAGGGTCAATGGATCACGGACGAAAAGGGAAAGGCAGATCTCGCTTGCGATTTTTATCAAAACCTTTTCATGTCTGAAAATCAAATCCCTGACATAGATGCTCGAGTGGCTGCTTTACCTTTGCCGCTCAAGGTGACTGCCGAGATGAATGTACACCTTACGGCTGATGTTCTACCGGACTAAGTTTGACGCACTGTCTTCTCCATGGGTTCTAAACAAGCGCCGGGCTCGGATGGGTTTACAGGGAAGTTTTTTAAAGCTTTTTGGGATATTGTGGGGGAGTCAGTGGTGAAGCTGTCTGCTCGTTCTTTCGAACGGGTCGGATTTTATGAAGCTTTAATCACACTTGGCTCACTTTGATCCCAAAGGTTGATAATGTGGAGTCGGTCTGGCAGCTTGTCCGATAAGTTTGTGCCAGTTCGTGTACAAAATTATCACTAAAATTATGACGGAACGATTAGCACAGATTCTCCCGAACGTCATATCCGAGGGTCAAAACGCGTTCATCCGGGAAAGACAAATTATGGATAATGTGCTTCTGGGGCATGAACTAATGCATTACCTCAAAATTAAGAACCGCGGGAAGAAAGGTTATATGGCTCTGAAGGTTGAGATGGAAAAGGCCTATGACAGAGTTGAATGGCCTTTCCTCTTTGCGGTTCTATCAAAGTTGGGGTTCTCTCATACTTGGATTGGTTGGGTGCGTGAGTGCCTACGTTCTTCTTCTTTCTCAATTCTCATGAATGGCACGCCCCATGGGTTCTTTCAGTCTACCCAGGGTCTCCGACAGGGTGATCCACTCTCACCCCGCTTGTTCGCCTTGTGCACAGAAGGGTTCGCAGCCCTCATCCGAAAGGCCATTTCTGAGGGCAAATTGGAAGGGGTAAAGGCCGCTCCTCGGGCACCGAGGATTTCTCACTTGTTCTTTGCTGATGACTCATACCCCTTTCTCCGAGGGAATTTGCAACAATGTGAGAATCTAATTGTTGTGCTGAATGATTATGAAGAGCTCAGTGGCCAGCGTGTCAATCTAGATAAATCGGCGGTCTGTTTTAGCAAGAATATTGCTATCCAGGATCAGGAATTCTTGGCTCAATTCTTGGGGGTGGGAGCGGTGGGGGTACAGGATAAATATCTTGGGTTCCCCACACTCATCGCCCAGTCTAAGTTAGCCACATTCCAGTTTGTGGAGGAGAAATTGGAGGCTCGCCTACAAGGATGGGGTCAAAAGACGCTCTCGTGGGCTGCTAAGGAAACCCTGATTAAATCAGTTGCCTCGGCTTTGCCACTCCATGTTATGTCCTGTTTTAAGCTCCCTCTCACCCTATGTAGGATTTTGGACAGGCTTATGGCTAGATTTTGGTGGGGTGTGGAGGATGAGCATTCGCGGATCAGGTGGATGTCTTGGAGAAAAATGTGTCGTAGTAAACATGAGGGGGTATGGGATTCCGGCGTTTTGAATACTTTAATTAGGCACTTTTGGCAAAGATCGGGAGGCGTATCCTTTCGGAGCCTCAATCCCTGTTGGCTCAAGTATACAAGGGTAAATACTTTCTGACTGGTACGTTTCTGTCTGCCACATCTCGCCCCGTCCCTCCTGGTGGTGGCAGAGCATTCTCTATGGTCGTCAGCTATTGGAGCGGGGTCTCTGTTGGCAGGTTGGGAATGGGCGGTCAGTGTCCGCGCTTACGGCCAGTTGGATTCCGAGCCTGCATCCAGAGCTCCCAACGTATAACCTTCGAATTCTCCTGCAAGGAGCAGACTTGAAAGTTGCGGAGTTAATGGTTCCTGGGGAAGGGCGGTGGTCTGATGAAAAACTTGCCCAATGGTTCCACCCTAGCATATGCAGGGCTATTAGGGCTATCCCCTTGCCCCTTCAGGATGTGGAGGATAAGCTTGTCTGGTTGGACACAAGTGATGGGGTGTTCACAGTCAAATCGGCCTATCATCTTGCTGTCTTGATTGATAAGCAACATGGGAGGTAGAGCCCCTCAGTTAGCTGGATGGATAGACAGAGCTGGATCCGGTTATGGTCTGCCTCGATTCCTCCTAAGCTTAAAGTCTTCTTGTGGCAAATCTTGCATCGCTTTCTCCCAACTACTAAGGCGTTTATTGAAAGGAAGGTTCTGGTGCATCCTCGATGTCCGGTTTGCTGGGCTCCTAAAGAAACCATGGAGCATCTCTTTTTGGAGTGCCCGGTTGCTAGAGCTTTGTGGGATCTTGCTGGGATGGAACATCTTGGGCAAGGTATCCCTCGGCAGACATTCCTGCTGTTCCTGCGGAGATTGTTGGCTATTCTCTAGAGCCCTTAGCAGGTTATGTAACTGGTGGCGGTGCTTTGGCGGATATGGAAATCCAGAAACTGGGTAGT